GAGTGCAGTGGCCGCTCCCGGCCACCGCATCCTTGACCTGCTGGACTCCGGCGATCCTTCCGCCTCAGCCTTCCAAGTAGCTGGAACTATAGGCACTCACTATCACGCCCAGCTAATTTTTGATTTATTGTAGAGATGAGGTCTTGTCAAGTGGCCCAGGTGGGTCTCGAACCCGCGGGCTCAGGCAATCCACTCACCTCGACCTCCCAAAGTGCTGGGATTACAGGCTGAGCCACCAAGCCCGGCTTATGTTTTCTAATCTTAAAAAAAAAAAAAAAAGGATAACTGGGATTCATCAAGAGGTAAAAGTAAACTTCCCCAGTATGTTCTTCTGCATCAGCTTGGCCGCCCCCTCCTTCTCTGTTATCACCCCTTACTCTGTCTCGCCAAAGTGTCTTGAGGATAATAGTGAGAAAAAGTAACAGACGCCCTCACACCTGAGTCTGCTCTTTACACCAGGAAAGTTGCCTAAGAAACAGACTATTTCTCAGTGCAAAGTCCTGAGAGAGAAGTGGATGGGCTTGACTGGGATCGGATGCCCAGTCTGTGGAGCTGGTGATTTGGGCATGGGTGTCTGGGCCAACCCTCTCTGCTGTAGCCACCAGCTACAGGACCGTGCCCCAGTCGGAGGAGTGATATTGACAGTCAGGGTTCATCCTTGTCCCCTGCAGGCAAGCCTGTGGAAGGTTGAGCTGTCACCAGAAGTTGTGCTGGAAAAAGAGCTTGGGGGCCGAGGCCAGGGGCTGGGGAGGAGGGTGCAAACCGCGCCGCGACCTAGGCCCTGTGACCCACTGGTCCGTTTCCCAAAATCCACCCAGGTTCTGTCTTTCCGCCGGGATTCTGCCTTGCACCTGTGGAAGGTCATCAGGACACAGCTTATTTTCCAGTGGCTGCACTTGAACCCCCTTCCAAGGCCCTCCGGCGTCATGTCCATGCTTTCGAGCAGATTTCTCTTCTGCCTGGGATACTCCTTTCCAAGATAGATTGTTTCTTATTAGTTACAAGGGGTGGTGCTTTTTGACTTCGTGCCAGATTCTGGCGCTTTCTTGATCCCAGGGGTGGTAGTCCACATAAAAACAGTGCCATCTCAGATGGCTTGGGACTGCTACCCACCATCACATCTTGAGCAAGCTCGGTGCTTGGATCGGCATCAAAATGCAGGTCTTCTGAATTTTAATCAAATGCTCTCCCTCTTCTGCCCAAGTGAGTTCATTTTTTTTTTTTTTTTCTTTCCCATGGTTTCTTTTCGTAGGGGTTCGGCTGTTGCAAAAATAATTGGTAATAATGTCAAGAAGCTTCAGAAGTTTGCCTCCACCGTCAAGATGTGGGTCTTTGAAGAAACGGTTAATGGGAGAAAACTGACAGACATCATAAATAACGATCACGAAAATGTAAAGTATCTTCCTGGACACAAGCTGCCAGAAAACGTGGTAAGACGTTGGGGTGAAAAGTACACTAGGTTCATTCTGCAAGCCATGCCCGCTTGAGCTGCACATAAGCCTTGGAAATGGGAAAGCACCTTCTCTTTTCTTTGGTTCCTTACTACCAGTTCATTGGTTGGTTTTGGTTTTCCTGATTCTGAAAATGGGCTTTGTCTTTGTTTGCTAGGGCTGGCCTAACAGAGTGCCACAGACCAGCAGGCTTAAACAATAGACATGTATTTTTTTACTATTCTGGAGGCTTCAAATCTGAGATCATGGTACCGTGTGCAGTGGCTCATGCCTGTCATCCTAGCACTGTGGGAGGCAGAGGCGAGAGGATTGCCTGAGTCCAGGGGTTCGAGACCAGCCTGGGCAATTTGGCGAGACCTCATCTCTACAATAAATAAAAGAATTAGCTAGAGGTGGTGATGTGCACCTGTAGTCCCAGCTACTTGAAAGGCTGAGGTTGGAGGATCGCCTGAGCCCAGCACTGTACTCCAGCCTGTGTGACGGAGTGAGTCTCCAACTCAAAACAAAACAAAAACAAATCTGAGATTGTGGTGTTGGCAGGTTGATTTCTTCTGAGATCTCTCTCCGGGGCTTGCAGATGGCGTCTCTTCCCAGCGTTGTCATGTGATCTTCCCTCTGAACCTGTCTGTGTCATAATCTCCTCTTATAAAGATAGCAGTCATGCTGGATTAGGGCCCACCCGAATGACATCATATTAAGTTAATTATCTCCTCAAAGACCGTCTCTAAATAGTCACCTTCTGAAGTACCGAGGGTTAAGCCTTCAACATACAGATTTTGGGGGGACACAGCACAGCCCATAACGGGCTTCTCCCTTGACGTTTGCCCGTCCCATCGGAGCTGGAACCAACAACCTTGCCTTCAGCTGTCTGTGTTCCCCAAGTTGATCTGATATCTAAGTGCACATGACTTTGATCAGCTTGCTAGGACGGCTAACGCGCTGGTCTGTAATTAAAATCAGGGTCAAGGCCCAAATTACAGAAGGAGATAGAAGAAAATGGGAATTCTAAGACTGACAGTTTGAAATTCAAACTCATTAGGCCTGGAAGAGAAAAATATAGGTTATTGCCTGACCTTGTTCTCTCGGCTTGCAGGAGAAGAGAGCAGCGTGCCCAGGGAGTGACAGAGGTGTACCCTGCCACTCAGCTGAGTGGGAGTTATGGAGTCTGTTGCTAGTTTCATCCCCTGGTGGCTTTCTGTCAAAATCTGTTTGAGAACCAGACAGTTTTGGCTGCTGATTTTATTTTTATTTTTTTATTTTTTGAGTTGGAGTCTCACTCTGTCACCCAGACTGGAGTGCAGTGGCTGCTCCCGGCCACCACAGCCTCGACCTGCTGGGCTCCAGCGATCCTTCCGCCTCAGCCTTCCAAGTAGCTGGAACTACAGGCACGCGCTACCACGCCCGGCTCGTTATTTATTTATTTAATGTAGAGATGAGGTCTCGCTGCCCAGCTGGGTCTCAAACCCACGGGCTCAGGCAGTTCACTCACCTCAGCCTCCCAAAGGCACGGGATTACAGGCTGAGCCACCGAGCCTGGCTGGCTGCTGATTTTAAACTGCCAGTCTTATAATTCCCGTTTCCAGTTTCTCAGTTAACCTGAGAAACTCTTCTCCTCTGTTCATGAAATACCCTTGACCGTGTATATTCGCACAGCAACCTTCTGCACATGCACCGTGCAGGCGGGGCACACTGTTGGATACTGGGACAGAAGGAGGAATGAGACAAGGAGTTGAGCAGTAGAGACTGATTTGTAAACCAGTAAATGTGGGGAGGTTTAGAGCTCACTGGAGATTTTCATTTGGCTTTTAGTTACGGTGTTTGCTTGGGTCAAGTATATACGTTGTCTCATTTAATTCTCTCCATCACCCTCTTGGGTTGATCCTGTTGCTTTTCTGTGATGATGATGATTCTGACTCTACAGAGTAAGAAAGCAAGGTTCAGAGACACTGAAGAACTTGTCCAAGGTCACACAGCGAGGGGCTGCAGTTGGGGTTTGATTCCTGATGGAGTCATCCCTGAGGCCGCTGCGTCGGTCACCTTCTAGACAAGGACGACTTTTTCCTTCGTGTCACTGAACCAGGACGAGCTGGCATTTCCCCACAGTTACTCTTGGTGCTATTGGAGGTGGAGGAGAGGATGCCTAGAGCTGTGAGCCTAGAAGTTAAGTTGTCCAAATATCTGCTGGAGCGGAGAGAAGGGGCCTTAGTGGAAGGTCTCTGGGTCATCTCTAGTCCATCCTTGGGGTAGAAAATTCTTCTGTGCTGTTCTTGTCTCATTGTTATGAGAGTTGATTGCCCCTTCTGTGAATGACACGCTCCAGTGACCACATCCCTCAGTCTGCTGTATGCCGGAGCCTGAGGGACCTGTCTGTCCACCACCACCGCCCCAAGTGTGGGACCCTGGCTTTCCAGTTCTTTGTTTACCCTCAGGACCCAGCATGGTGCTCTTCCCATTGTTGATGCTCCAGGAATGCTGGGGGAAACTGTAGCCTGTGCTGTGAGCAGGGAGAGAGGCTAGGGAGGAATAACACACAGGAGCCAGGAGTCATCACCTGGAGAGCCTAGCCCACTCAGCTGACCACTGCCTGCCGTCTGTGCCCCCTGGAAGTGGGACATCCGCTCCCAGGACCCTACTGGCATCTAATAGAGCTCTCGAGCTTATTCCTCCTGTCTAACTGGAATTTGATGTCCTTTGACCTGTCTTTCTTTTTTTTTTTTTTTTTGAGTTGGAGTCTCACTCTGTCGCCCAGACTGGAGTGCAATGGCCGCTTCTGGCCACTGCAGCCTGGACCTGCTGGGCTCCGACAATCCTTCTGCCTCAGCCTTCCAAGTCGCTGGAACTACAGGCGCATGCTACCACGTCCGGCTGATTTTTGATTTATTGTAGAGATGAGGTCTCACCAAGTTGCCCAGGCGGGTCTCGAACCCGCAGACTCAGGCAATCCACTCACCTCAACCTCCCAAAGGCGTGGGATTACAGGCTGAGCCACCGAGCCCGGCTGACCTGTCTCTTTCCAATCCCACACCCCACAGACTCTGGTAGCCGCCTGAAAGGCTCGTTTTTAACCTTTTTTTTCCTTGTGAATTCAAGCAGGGGAGGCTTGTTCATTGCCATCCTCACTGGATTGATTTCTGTGCCATCGGTCAGCTGGTGTGCTGGCTTGAGATGGAGTCTTTTTTTGCCTGGTGCCCCCAAACTGATCCTTCCCAGTTCCCCACTGGAAACGTGGCCCCCTCCCACCTAAGAACCTTCTGTCGCAATGAGTTCTCCACGCCGTCTCCTGCTCACTGAAAGCTGGGCTGGCCAGGGTTTATGATTTCCCCTCAGACCTGAATGAAAAGAACGCTTGTTATTTCCTGTCGTTGCAAGATAAAAACCATGGCTCCCATACTCTGTATCCAGAGCCTGTGTTTAGAGCTCATCCAGGCAGAAGGCTCCTCTGCCTTCTTGCTTCAGCCAGCCCCAGTGTGACACCAGGATTTAGATGACAGCGTCCCTTATGAAATACTGTCATTGCCTCTCATCTTTTTTTTCTATGCTCTGCCTGTCTTTTAAAAAAAAAACAGCTTCAAGCCTGTAATCCCAGTACTTTGGGAGGCCGAGGTGAGAGGATTGCCTGAGCCCATGGGTTCAAGACCAGCCCGGGCAACTTGGCAAGACTTTATTTCTATGATAAATAAAAAAATTAGCCGGGTGTGGTGGTGTGCGTCTGTAGTTCCAGCTACTTGGAAGGCTGAGATGGAAGGATTGCCGGAGCCCAGCAGGTCGTCCCTGGGGTGGCTGTGAGTATGCCACTGCACTCCAGCCTAGGCAAAACGGAGTGAGATGCCAACTAAAAAATAAAAGCAAGAAAAATTTTTTTAAAAACGACTTTACTGAGATATAATCCAGTAAAATACTGAGATACATGCTGGGCTTGGTGGCTCAGCCTGTAGTCCCGCGCCTTTGGGAGGCTGAGGTGAGTGGATTGTCTGAGCCCGCGGGTTCAAGACCTGCCTGGGAAACTTGGCGAGACCTCATCTCTACAATGAATAAAAAAAATTAACCGGGCGTGGTAGCGCGCACCTGTAGTTCCAGCTACTTGGAAGACTGAGGCGGAAGGATCGCCGGAGCCCAGCAAGTCGAGGCTGTGGTGGCCGGGAGCGGCCACTGCACTCCAGCCTGGGCGACAGAGTGAGACTCCAACTCAAAAAAAAAAAATACTGAGATACAGATCTAGTAATTCAGATCCTCTACAGACTGTACGGTTCGGTAGTTTTTAGTGTATGCACACCGTTGTGCAACCAGAGCTGCAATCAACTTGGGAACATTTTTGTCACTTGAAAAGAAGCCCAAGCCGGGCTCGGTGGCTCAGCCTGTAATCTCGTGCCTTTGGGAGGCTGAGGTGAGTGGATTGCCTGAGCCCGCAGGTTCGAGACCTGCCTGGGCAACGAGACCTCATCTCTCCAATAAATAAAAAAATTAGCTGGGCGTGGTAGCGCGCGCCTGTAATTCCAGCTACTTGGAAGGTTGAGGCGGAAGGATCGCCGGAGCCCAGCAGGTCGAGGCTGCGGTGGCCGGGAGCGGCCACTGCACTCCTGTCTGAGCGACAGAGTGAGACTCCAACCCAAAAAAAAAAGAAAAGAAAAGAAAAGAAGCCCTATACCCTTTAGTCATCACTGCCTAATTCCCTACCGTCCCCTCAGTCTAGGCAGTCACTAATCCACTTTCTCTCTCTGTAGATTTGCTTATTCTCAACATTTCAGGCAAATGACATCAGACTCTCTGAGGTCTCCTGTGATGGCTTCTTGCACCTAGAATGCTGTTGTCAAGGTTCCTCCATTCCTCCGTGGGGCAGAAGTCATCAATACCTCATTTCTTTTTTTTTTTTTTGAGTGGGGGTCTCGCTCTGTCACCCAGACTGGAGTGCAGCGGCACACTCACGGCCGCCACAGCCTCGACCTGCTGGGCTCGGATGATCCTTCTGCCTCAGCCTTCCA